TGGGAGCTGATACTGTTTCCTTGCCTGCTTTTTGGGAGCTTTGCCAGTGGTCTGCCTCGCCTGACCTGCCCACCACTTGTCTCCTCTGCAGACAGAGGAGGAAGCATCACAGGAGGAGTGGTAGCTTAAGCACTGTCTTTAAACCCAATTCTCTTCTGCAGACGGAGAGGAAAGTATCACAGAAATAGTGGTAGCTTAGGTGGCTCTGATGCTTTTAATCCAGGTCGCAATGAAGGATATATTCCTGCCCCCCCCCCCCCATTCCCACTGGTTAAAAAGAAGTGAAATAGTGGGGCTGGGCATTGGGGTGTGTTTGGTGTGTGGAACATCTTTGACATTGGTCAGGAGGAATGGTGCCTTGCTCTGCCTCCCTCCTGCTGCTGCTGTTGGAGAAGTTAGAGGGCAGGGTCAACGGGGGTTGGGGGGAGAGGGAATGTTTTTAGGGAGATTTTATTTATAGAAAGAAAAAAATCCCTAAAAATCGGGGGATAACCCGATGTTATTTTTTTAATAAATGATTTATTTATGGTTTATATTCATAGCAGCTACTTAAACTGTCTGTCTTCAGATACTGTATATATCTCTGTACTTGGGACCAACAAAAGAGAATGCCTGCTTCCATCTTGCTTTCCTTCTGACCTGATGTGTGAGATTTAGATGTCAACTCTTGATGAGAGAAAACTAAGTGAGATGAAAAACACCGGTGTGATCCAACTGGATAAGTCTGATGCTCTTGCAAAAGTATTTCTATTTCCAAATGCACATTTTTATACATTTGTATTTTTGTATAAAAGATTAGACTACCCCCCCCCCCCCCCCCCCCCCCCACATCAGCTTAGCCCATAAGATAGCATGACCCATTGAATCTTTCATCTTTCAAGTGTCAAGTGGCGAGCTGCCTGGGAAAGTCCATGTTAGTCAAAACTTGTAAGTTTTTAATGTACCACAAGACTCATTTCTGTGTTTATCATGGATCAGAAATCCGCAACTGAAATGACTGGAACCATCAGCTATTGGCATTTGCTATGGTTCATTTAACATGAAGGACACCATACCCTGGACCCAGTCTCTATTGCCATAGCAACCAAAAAATGAGTTAGGAGGATCTGAGCAAAGTCCTCAGACCTAAGGTCAACAGCCCACGCATAATTCCTTCAACGCACTACAGAAGGATTGCATTGTTACTCATGCAGGACAGTGAGAACCTGACAAAGCATTGTTAGATGGAAATTTATTCTGTTTAAAAAACCACCACTTGATTCATTGGGAAACAGTGAACTCTGGGTAAATTCTGAATATGGCCTTATCAGACACACAATTGTGAGTGGAAGAGATATGTGTAACAACAGTAACAATTTTATTTGTTACCTGACTCACTCACAGCTCAACACATGGGACACCACCATAAAATACACATATTAAAATGCATAGTACAAAGTATATATCTATGTATGTCTGAATGTGCAACACATAATGGTGTAATTCAATGTGTAATATTGGCTAGCATCCAGTAGTAACATCCAATGATGAAAGTCTCTATTTCGTTGCTGTAACCTAATTTTTTATTCAATGTGGGGGTCAAAATTATATTCCAAGTTCCTCCAATCCCCACATTTCAGTGTGGTAATCCTCCAAGCCAACAGCCATTTCTGTGATGGTAAAGAATGGAAGAAGAAAGCAGTACCGTGCCCAGATAGGACAAAAAAGCAATCAGTCAATAAATACAGTCTAGTGCTACCTGTCTGTATGTTACATGGGGACTTCTGGTGAGTATCTCAGGTTTTCTGCACTTAACCTGACTTTGTTCCACTTCTGGCATCCTGGGGCTTCAGGGTCATCTGAACATCTGACCTGATTCACTTACTGTATGGATACTGATTAATGCAGAGGAATGAGGTACCTGATACCTGGGTAGTTGCCACCGTTCCCTGCCAGACACGGAGCTCCTTGCAAATGCTGCCATTGCAGTTGCAGCTCTTGGTGTCAGTATGGGGTGCCTACACAACCAGCAAAACAAGGGGAAAAGAAGAAGATTGGGCATTGCTCTGGCAGCCTGTTCAATATTTGTTTTCTAGGAATTCTGGGTTTCTCATGCAACCAAAAGTTTTCAGTTACTTGGTTCAGCTTTGTTCTTTCTCACTCACTGGTCCAGGGTCTTGGAGTTGCCTCCATGAACATTCAAACCACTTCTCTACTTTGGATCTCAAAATAATACCTAATAATAATAATAATAATAATAATAATAATAACAACAACAACAACAACAACTTTATTTATACCCCACAACCATCTCCCCGAAGGGACTTGGGGCGGCTAACACGAGGCCAAGCCCAAATAATTGCAATAAAGCAAAAAAAAGTACATACAAAACAGACAATAACATCAAATAAAAATGCTTAACAATAACATAGTAATGCAATAAAATAATGGCAATAACATAATAAAAGCAAAATATAAAATGCTAAAGGAAATTAAACAGAGCATGCTGGGCCAAATACGGTGGGTAAAAATTGTAAAACCTGTGGGTGAGAAAAATAGATGATATAGATAGATAGATAGATGATAGATGATAGATAGATAGATAGATAGATAGATAGATAGATAGATAGATAGATAGTGCTATGTCTAGTGGGAGGCTCAGGTGGGATAAACAATGAGGTTAATCTCCACTGAGGGATAAGATGAAATGCACAAATATCCTCTACTGGGAGTCAAACCTGGGTTGGCTGAGTGAAAGCCAGGAATTCTAATCACTAGTCTATATGGAAAAAGACATATAGTATGGGAAAGGGACAAATATTTTCAGGTTGAGCTCATATGGTGCCATGCAACATGTTTCATAGGGCCTAAGCATGCAGGGAAGGTGCACTTTTTCTGTGCCTTCAGTGATGTATAGATGAAATCCCAGTCACATTGAACTCATCTGGGTAAGAGTGACAGTGAATCATAGAATAATTGAGTTGAAAGAGACCTCATGGGCCAGCCAGTCCAACCGCCTGCCAAGAAGCAGGAAAATTGCATTTGAAGCACCTTGGGTTCTCACAGAAGTTGAGGAAACAAGAAGCCGTCTTTGCTCCCTTTGCTTCAGGTAATTAAGCCTTGTCTTAGATCACCAAGCACTAAGCGGATAACTCGGCGCTCGGCTCTAGGCTGCAAGCCCTGGCAGTCAGGGGCACTTTGGGCCTTACAGAGAGTCTCTTTTCAAGTTACTGTGTGTTGAAAAGTACAGAGGGGGTTTGCTACCCATTTAAATAGATAACTTAGTCTGAAGAAGAACCAAGGGCTACAAAAACAGCATCAATGAACCACAGACTGCATTTGCCTATCCAAATTCAGAGACATGAATTTATCCCACCAACCCCAACAACTTAAATGAATGCTGGAGAGACCCTGAGGATCAGTAAAATGGTGAGACACTCTAGCCCTAAAACTGAGGGGAAGTGGAGTGTGGGAAGCCCTCCTATTGCTGCCAATGGTATGAAAATCAGGCAACCAAATGGTTACTGTTCCTACTTTCCTTTTGTTTCAGTGATATTTCCGTACCAGAGGGGGTGTACCATTTCATGCCATCCAAATTGATGGTACAAAATGGAAACATGAAATAAATGGATGACACAAATATCAGGCCTATGACTACTATCTAGTACAACGTCCTGTCTTTCATGAATAAAGGCACTTCTAAAAGATATGTAATCAAAATCGGTTTAAAGACTGCTAAACAGGGAAGGTCCACCACACTCCAGGGCGATTTGTTTCACTATTGAACAGCTCTTACAATAAAAAAAGTTATTCCTAATGTTTAGGTGGATATCTACTCTGCAAATAACACTGAGTTACTGGTAAATTATTTTTTGTCTTTTTCAAATTAGGTGAGAGCTTATTTTGACAGAGTGATGATAAAATTCATTTACCTTTTTTTCACATAAGAATGCATGCCCAGTGTGGAACACGTCTCACCACGCTAAAACAGTGGATGTGGCCCTAAATGAGACATGCCGCATTATCACGGGGTGTCTGCGCCCTACACCACTGGAGAAATTACACTGCTTAGCAGGTATTGCACCACCTGACATCCACTGGGAAGTAGCAACCAATAGTGAAAGGACCAAGGCAGTTACATCTCTGGCCCATCCTCTGTTTGGGTATCAGCCAGCACGCCAATGACTTAAATGAAGAAATAGTTTTCTAAGATCTACAGAGACACTTGCTGGAACACATCAGCTAGCGAGAATCCAAAAGTGGCAGGCTCAAACCCAGAACATCAATCAATGGCTGATACCAAATGAGACATTCCCTCCTGGGCACACAGAAAACTGGGCAACTTGGAAGGCACTGAACAGACTGCGCTCTGGCACCAAGAGATGCAGAGCGAGCCTTAAGAAATGGGGCTACAAAGTGGAATCCATGACATGCGAGTGTGGAGAAGAGCAAACCATTGACCACCTGCTGCAACCTGAGCCCTGCCACATGCACAATGGAGGACCTTCTTGCAGCAACACCAGAGACACTCCAAGTAGCCAGCTACTAGTCAAAGGACATTTAATCAAATACCAAGTCAGCAAACTTTGTGTTTTGTTAGTTTGTCTGTTTTTTAATGCAATACAACTGTTTTGGTTCACTCCTGACACGATAAATAAATAAACATAAGAATAACTTTTTTTCGTATACTTTTACATATTCTTTCCATCCCCAATCATCTCTTATAGACCAAAAATCCCTGCTCTGCTTTAGGAAGATGTTTGTGTTCTGTTCCTTTAACCTCTGTCCCAACAAAAGCTGACTTATTTTCTTCTTGTTATAGAATTAATTCATCTGACACCAACAAGGAAACATGATCTCAAGATATTGGCAAACAAGCTTTGCTTGTTCTTAAGATAACATTGCAAGGACTTATTTGCTAACTTCTTTCTGGTAAGTTCCAGGGAGTTTCCCCAGTAATTTCCTCATCCGCATTGACTAAATCCAGATTTAGTTATTGTAAGATACATACTTGACACTCGTCCAAATAACATAACACTTCTCTTTTTCACCTGCTATTGAAGAACTGTTGGCTAAACTGATTCTACTCCTTCAGCTATGCACTCTATTTAATAAGAAGGATTTTAGTGGAAAGAATTGTCTCTTGTTGGTGAGTCTAGATGTTTTATGTTATAGTCAAATTTATAGAATTGCCTGGCTTTGCTTAAACAGATCCTCTGCTATAGGACATTTTGCACCCATATCTCAGCATGTAGTAATTGAAGGTTTAAACTTCCCCTGCTCATATGCTTATTCTAGAAATAACATGCTTCATAGGGACATTTTAAGAAATCTTAGGAGAGGGACTTGATGTATGTTTTAACTCTCTCTGAGTGGTTATACATGTATTTCTATCTAATTTTTAAGTTGTTTCTGGTCTCTGTCTTGGGAAAATGGGATAAAGCAAGACATAAGTAAAAGTATATATTGACTGATAGGTTTTTCCCACCCTCCAGTGGTATCTCCTCAGATTGCTTCTTTCTCCTCCATTGAAGGAGGAAGAGGGAAACAATTCTCTTAGCTTTAGAGGCTGTACACACAACAAACCAAGGCATAAGTGATATTCCCCCTGGTCAACAACAAATAGCTTACAATATGGTATCTATGGTAAGAAAATGTTGCATAGATGAGCACATGAATCTGTAATGTGCCATAATTGAATTATTCTGTCAGCATCCTCCTTAGATATATTGAATGTGCATACTTGGAAAAAAATCACCTTTTTCAGTCTGTTTTCTTTAAAGGGCATCAACAATGATTAGCAATATCACAAGTCTTTGATACCAGATCTCATCTGATATCAGAAGCTAAGCAAGGACAATCCCAGGGCCCATCCAGACATCCCCTTTAATGCGGGAGGTCCCGCAATTAAAAGGGGATTGTCCAGATGACATCACTGAGAAACAGGAATTAATTCACCACAAACCAGGAAAATCCTGGTGTGTGGTGAATTAATTTGTTAATGGGTTTATCTTGTGTTTTTTTGGAAGGTGCAAGATGAACCCACTGCTTTCTCAATTGGTGAAACCTGAGGATGTGGACAAGATACTTGGAGGAATGAGGGCAACCACATGCATCCTAGACCCCTGCCCATCCTGGCTTCTAAAGGAGGCCAGAGGGGGATTGGCCGAGTGGGTGAAGGTGGTAGTTAATGCCTCCCTTCGAGAAGGCAAAATTCCAGCCAGCTTAAAACAAGCTGTGATAAAACCGCTGTTGAAAAAACCATCACTGGATCCCACTCAATTCGTCAACTATCAGCCTGTTTCCAATCTTCCCTTTGTGGGCAAAGTCCTGGAACGTGTGGTGGCCTCACAACTCCAGGTATTCTTGGTAGACACTGATTATCTAGATCCGGCACAGTCTGGTTTCAGACCGGGACATGGTACCGAGACAGCCTTGGTCGCCTTAGTGGATGATCTGCGCAGGGAGCTAGACAGGGGGAGTGTGTCCCTGTTAGTTCTGCTGGACCTCTCAGCGGCCTTCAATACCGTCAACCACGGTATCCTTCTGAGACGCCTCGCGGGAATGGGCCTTGGTGGCACTGTTCTGCAGTGGCTCAGGTCCTTCCTAGAGGATCGTACTCAGAAGGTGTTGCTGGGGGACAACTGCTCTATCTCACAACCATTGTCTTGTGGGGTACCGCAGGGCTCAATATTGTCCCCCATGTTATTTAACATCTACATGAAACCGTTGGGAGAGATCATCCGGAGTTTCGGGGTGCGGTGTTATCTGTACGCAGATGAAGTCGAACTCTGTCACTCCTTCCCACCTACTACTAAGGAGGCTGTTCAGGTCCTGAACTGCTGCTTGGCCGCTGTATCAGACTGGATGAGGGCGAACAAATTGAAACTGAATCCAGATAAGACAGAGGCACTCCTGGTCAGTCGAAAGCCGAACAGGGATAGGGTTACAGCTGTGTTGGATGGGGTTACACTCCCCCTGAGAGACGCAGGTTCGCAGCTTGGGTGTGATCTGGACTCATCGCTGAGCTGGAACCCCAGGTTTCGGCGGTGACCAGGGGAGCATTTGCACAATAAAAATTGTTCGCAGCTGCGCCCGTACCTTGGGAAGTCTGACTTTGGCCACGGTAGTCCATGCTCTGGTTACATCCCGTTAGACTACTGCAACGCGCTCTACGTGGGGTTGCCCTTGAAGACTGCCCGGAAGCTTCAGATGGTCCAGCGCTCGGCAGCCAGGTTGCTAACAGGAGCGGCACTCAGGGAGCATACTACTCCTCTGCTGAGCCAGCTCCACTGGCTGCCAATCCGCTACCGGGCACAATTCAAGGTGCTGGCCTTAGCCTATAAAGCCCTAAACGGTTCTGGCCCCTCTTACCTCTCCGAACGCATCTCCACCTATGAACCGACTAGAACATTAAGATCGTCTGGGGAGGCCCTGCTCTCGATCCCGCCTGCGTCACAGGCGCGCTTGGCGGGGACGAGAGACAGGGCCTTCTCAGTGGTGGCCCCCCGGCTATGGAATGCCTTGCCGGCAGACATCAGACAGGCACCTTCGTTGCTGACGTTTCGGAGAATGGTGAAGACCTGGCTTTATGAACAAGCGTTTGGCTAAGCAGTGCAACCAATCAAGGAAGACGGTAAATGGAACATAGGAACGGCACAAGGACTATGAGAACGGATCTGATTTCAACTGAGGCGTTATGTCTGTTGTTTTGTTGATTTGTCTTGTTCGATTGTTAATTGTTGTGGATCGATGTTGTTGATCCTGTTTGTTGCATTGTTATGTTTTAATTGCACTGTAAACCGCATTGAGTCGCCTGTTAAGGGCTGAAAAATGCGGTATAGAAATGAAGCAAATAAATAATAAATAATAAATAAATTCTCTGTCTGGGCTGCTTCCTCAAAATTTTGGGCATTTGAGGGGGGCAGTCCAGACAGTAGTCTCATGGTTTTCTGAGCTAAATTCGCCTGGAAAACCATGAGAACACAAACTCCCTCCCCAAAAGCCCTTAAAAAAACTTACCTGGCCTCCATTCGCTTGGTGCCAGAGCTCTCCTAGCACATAGGAATGAAGCACCAAGAGAAAGGGGAGGAGGAAGAAAATCACCCCCCGTCCCCTTCTCCTGGCACATCATTCCTATGTGCCAGGAAAGCTCTGGTACCATGCAAATTGAGGCCAGGTAATATCTTTTATTTTTTAAAGGGCTTTTGGGGAGGAGGTGGGAGGGTCCAGGTGTTCTCCCGGAAAGTTCTGGGAGAACATCTGGACCTGGGAACATTCGTGTGGATGGGAACCCAGGAACATTTGCATTTTTAAAACATGAATGTTCCCAGGATAAAGAGCTGTCTGGAAGTGTCCTCAGTTAGTACTTGGATAGGAGCCAGTGGCAAACTTCACCGGAGAGTCTTCATAACAGAGCAGCCAACTTGAAAGCATCCACACACATACACACAAAAAAGCTTTCTGATTATAGAATCATATTGTTGCTAGTATGTATCTGACTTACCGAGACTTGAAGATTAAGTTACTATGGAGTTTTCTTGACAAAATTTGTTGAGAGGATATTTTCCTTTGCCTTCCTCTGAAGTTAACGATGAGACTTGCCCCAAAGAAGTAATAATTAGCTTTACCTTCTTCCAAAGGTGAAACATTTCATGATGATGGGAAAATGCATGCTGATTTGCTATTATTCATATTCTTTCAATTTAAAGTGACCTTTTTTAATTAAGAAGAACATTTGTGAATATTTGTTGCATCTCTTGAAGGTGTAGGTCCGAGTGCTATACATTGTAACAGTCTGGTGCAGAATTGAACAGCTTGTAATGACTATACATGTCTTTCCTATAGAGAACATCTATCCATCTGTTCATCAACAATGAGGAGTCATCATCTACTGTTGACTGCTTTCTTCGTAATACTCATGGTGACACCAGGTATGAATGTATGTATGTATGTATGTATAAATAGAATAGAATAGAATAGAATAGAATAGAATAGAATAGAATAGAATAGAATAGAATAGAATAGAATAGAATAGAATAGAATAGAATAGAATAGAATAGAGGCACAATATAAAGGGTGTGCAAAAAGTGTAATTGATTTTTGGGCTTCTCATGCAGCATAATTTTGTTGTTTAACTAGTAGACACATCATTCAGCACTATGTTGTTGCCCACTAAAAAGAGAGACACAAAACAGATCTTTTGACATATCAGCCTCTATTGCAGTGGTTCTCAACCTGTGGGTCCCCAGGTGTTTTGGCCTACAACTCCCAGAAATCCCAGCCAGGTTACCAGCTGTTAGGAATTCTGGAAGTTGAAGGCCAAAACATCTGGGAACTCTCAGGTTGATAATCACTGCTCTATTGGATAAAGAGCTTTCCATCAATCTGCTATTTCTTACCAGATTTAAGAATTTCAAGCACTGCTGGTCACAGCTGACCTCCAGTTAGAGCTCTCAAGGGCCAGGGCTTCCCAGTTCTCGGTGTCTATGCCACAATTTTTAAAGTTGGCTTTGAGAGCATCTTTAAATCTCTTTTCCTGTCCACCAACATTACCTTTCTCATTCTTGAGTTGGTGTGTGGTAACTGAGTGCTTAGACTGTTGCATATATGTTTGTAATAACCCTGTGTTGAGTTGATGAGGGATAGACATTGGTGGATGGAGAGGGAATTTATATATGCTGTAAATACTGCATTAGTATTTGTACTATTACTCCAAATTATGAAAGAAAAGCCTCCAGTTGGAACAAACAGCTTTGTGCCTGTGTTTTGCTTTTGTTCCTGAAGAGACCACTCCACTGTAAGAAGGTTCTGGCTCCCTAACAGGACTGAAGAGTCCTTTCTGTTTTGTTGTTGTTCATTCGTTCAGTCGTCTCCGACTCTTCGTGACCTCATGGACCAGCCCACGCCAG